CATAATCCAAATTGTGTTTTAAAAGTAAGGCATAGGAAATTCTTTATCAATTTCAACAAGGATAAAATTTAATCCAAGTTGATTAGTATATTGAAACTCTTGATTCCATTTAGCAGTCAAAAGTAGGATGTATAATTTGAGAAATAGACAACCTAGTATGTCTACGGGATCAATGTCTTTAGGAAGGGGAAGAGGAAGGGGATCTGGAATAAACCCACCAAGTAGTTTAGCCATTCCCAACCATGCCATATCATCTGGGAATATGGAGGCCCATTTTTCAGGGGAATCTAGAAACTCTCATGATTATTTTAATGCAAGGTTTAATATCCCTGAATTCAGTAATGGGGAGACAATAAATAAGTATCCAAATATATTGCCTACTTCAATTAATGAAGGAGAAAGGGAGATAAATCATTTGACTGATGAAAATCCTTGTACCATGGATCATACTATCAACTTACCTGCTATAAGTAAAGAAATTGAGAATAACACTAATCCGTTCCTTGTTCCAACTCAAAGTCGAAGTGATAGCGCTTTAATTTCAAGATCAACCAATTCTGATAGTGATGAGCTCACACAATTAAGAAGACAATTAGATGCCTTAAAGAATGAAAATTTTGAATTAAAGAGAACAGCCAAACAAAACAGCTTTCAGATACCAAGTTCAAGTCAAACAAACCCTAATCAAAATCTGGTCAACACAATTACCCAGTCAACAGAGTATATAGAGCCGAATGTATATGCTGGTACTCATAGCCATGTAAACCAGGATATTGTTAGCAGCAGCATTTCACAGAATCCAGTTCTTAACAAGGACTTGTATACTCAGAGTCTATTTGTGAGCAACACCTATCCTTATAATACAATGCAAAGAAGTAACTATTCGCAAAATACAGTACAGAATAGCCGATATATACAAAATCAAGCCCCGAACAGTACTTTTTCACAATATCCAGTTCAAATAGAAATTTCCAACAGTATCAACCAATCACAGAGCCAGACTTGTTACCAATGCAGCATCCCAGTGGACCACAGTATATCAATACATCAGAAGTTCCAAGATTTAATGATAATGGACGCAGAACAAGAGTGCCATTCTATAACGGAAAGGATCCATGGAACGCATATGTGATGCAATTTGAACTGATTGCGGAAATGAACAATTGGACTCCATCAACCAAAGCCATAGAACTGGTTACAGCCCTCAAAGATGAAGCAATGGTATATGCCTCATTTCTTACACCAGAGACAAAAAGATCATTTTCAGCACTTTGTGCAGCCATGTCAAATAGATTTGGAGATCATGGGTACCCGGAAACATACAGACAAGAGCTTCATACTCTGAAAAAGTATGATAGAGAAACAATTCAGGAGTATGCTTCAAGGGTCGAGATGTTGGTCAGGAAGTCTTTCCCAACAATTGACACAGCAACACACAGTACACTCAGTGTGGAGTATATGCTTAGAGGATTGCCAGACCAGAGTATTGCTATTGAGCTACTGACAAAAAGGATTACTAGCATAACAGAGGCAATACACCAAGTAACGCTATATGAGACTTACAAGAGAGGTTCAAGAGACAGAAACAACCGTCAGCTTGGTACAACAGAGGACAGTTATAGAAATAATTGTGGGTCCGAAGATATAGAGGTCAGAAAAGTAGGAGGAAAAAGATTTATTACAGAAGAAAGAATGACTCAGTTTGAAAGAGGAATTTCGGAGTCACTAGAGACAACCATTAAAAGAGAAATGGCAAAGTACTATACACAACAGGAGTATGACAGTAGTCCAGGGCAAAATAAGCAAGTGTATAAAGACCATACGACCAAGATGAAGAATTCCAGATGCTTTAACTGTAATGAGGAAGGCCATTACATAAGAAATTGTCCAAAAGAAGGGAGAAGCCCCTATCATAATCATAAAGACAACAGAAGTGGTTTTATAAGGAATAATGAAAGGAGTCAAAACCAAAATGAAGAGTCTTTAAACTGCTAAGGGTTGAGACTATCGACCAAGTGTCAGCCCCTAAACATGGTAAAGAAAAAGTTAAAGAGAATAATTTGAAATATGAAGAGAAACATTGCCAAATGAAAGAGCATTTGGTTGAACCAAAAAAATCAGTGAATACAGCTTATATAAAGAGATCATTTGAAGAAGATAGCCTAGATATACGGGACCTAGATTTAAGCCTAGAGATGTTGTTTGAGGAGTCTAAGGAGATACAACAGAACACACCAGAGAACACACCAAAGGAGGTAATGGGTAGTGCAGAACCGATCAACGGGATAGAAGGAAATATTATAATTGCTCGGGTGACAGCAGCTTGCATTACAGTTCCAGTGGTCATTAACAAGATTGTGACGAATGCAGTTATTGACACTGGAGCAGAGGTGACGGTTCTAAGTGAGAAGTTGTATAATCAGATTCCTGGGAGTAAACGGCCAAAACTAAGGAGAGCAGCAAGAAATTTGGTAGTTGCTGAGGCCAGTAAGAACTTGACAACAAGAGGGATTACAGAGGTGGAAGTTAATCTGGGAAGTGAAACCTTCAAATGGCCAGTTTATGTAGCACCCATTGGAGATAACATGTTATTAGGTTGTGACCTAATTGATGAATAGAATATCACAATCAATCCTATGCAAGGCTTACAGTTTAATGGTCAGCGGATTGAATGTGAGACTAAAAGACAAACTGATAGAGAAGCCAGAGTCGGAGTAAAGGACACCAATTCTGGGCTTATCATTGACAAAGAAGCGGAAAGAAGTGAGTTCCTGTCAATCAGAGATTCAATGGTAGAGCCGGTAATGGCCGATGACAGAAAACCAATGGTAGCAAGTACGCAGGACATGCATGTACATATAGGAAATATTACCAGTACAAGTTATAAGGGTACACAGACGGACAAGGTCGATGTCCAGATGTTGCCTGAGCTCTTGCAAGAAGAAAATGTAAATGTTACAGAAGAAAATGTAAATATTAAAGGAGAAAATGTAAATGTTACAGAAGAAAACGTTAATGTTACAGAAGAAAATGTTAATATTACAGAAGAAAATGTAAATGTTACAGAAGAAAATGTAAATGTTAAAGGAGAAAATGTAAATGTTACAGAAGAAAACGTTAATGTTACAGAAGAAAATGTTAATGTTACAGAAGAAAATGTAAATGTTACAGAAGAAAACGTTAATATTACAAAAGAAAATGTAAATGTTAAAGAAGAAAATGTAAATGTTAAAGGAGAAAATGTTAATGTTACAGAAGAAATTGTTAATGTTACAGAAGAAAACGTTAATGTTACAGAAGAAAATGAAAATGTTACAGAGGAAAATATAAATTTTACAGAAGAAACTGTAAATGTTATAGAAGAAAATGTAAATGTTACAGAAGAAATTGTGAATGTTCCAGTAGAAAATCAAAATATTCCAGTTACGGAAGAAATTGTAAATGTTTTAGTTAAAAAAGAGGATGGAAACTTTTTCTGTCAGGTGGAAAAAATAAGTCAACTGAAAGAAAGTTTCCGTGAAACAGATTTAGACCAAACTAAGAAAGAACATGAGAATGAAAAACAGGTAACTCAAGACACACAAAAAGATTGGAGAAAAAGGAAGAAAAGAGCAGAAGAGGACACAGAAAGAGAAAAGAACAGAAGAGGACACATAAAGAAAAAAAAAGAACAGAAGAGGATACAGAAAGAAAGACAAAAAGAGACGAACCAATAATACAGTGAAGTTGTTGGACAAAGAAAACATTGAAAATTTTATAAACAGTTTATTTATTATATTGAAAGACACAAAACTACAAAATTGTTGACATTATTTATATGTATATTGTTTTATATATCATTGGTACACTTTTATTATTATACGTGTCAAGAATTGTGATATATTCGTGATCTAGTCAACATTGACAAAAACAAATTTTCTTAATTTTAATATTCTATTGAGATAGCAGGTGCTTGATTAGATTTTGTTTAATTGTATCTAATGATTTAATATTTCGCAATTATTTAAATTTGAGACGAAATTCTATTTTGACGGAGGGCAGTGTTGTAAACATTCAATAACGCGGTTTTACCTTTGTGTTAACGTAACGTCGTTCCCGGCAAAATTGGCAGTTGCCGATTTAGCGTTACGAAATTCCGCCAACATGTGGCATTCGAATAACATCTTTGTTTTCTAACTTGTTATTAATCCTACATTTCTTTAGTTACTTGTATTTATATGCTTTATACATGTATTGATAAATCGGTGTCGAGACGTATGAAATCGTGAGTGCTTTCTTTATAATCCAATATTTACGTATGTATTGACAGTGATTTATATGATTAACCTTGACCAGTAGCGACCTATTTTCTTACGCGCAAGGATAAGGCGTGATAAGTATTATAAAAAGGGGATTTTCCAAATAGCAAAACGAATTTGAACTCATCTTTACAGAAACTTAATAGGTAAATACTTCACGCACGAAAATCACAGAAAACCGTTAAACATATTGTACTTTCATTCTTTGTAGTAATTTATAGTAATAATAATAATTTCTATTTCTTGAAATAGTAGTTTAGTTGTTATTTTATTTAGAAAACCTGGCTAATGTATTTCTAAAAGCTATTGAATAGAATAAATATCTACAGACTAAAGGTATTGTAAGAAAGATTGAGAACAATCTTTACAATGTCCAATCAAATTTAAATATAATGTATACAAGTTTAAATCCTCTTTTTTATGTTGTTTTCAGATGTCAATCTTAATTACAATGCTTGAGCAAACATTGATACAAACAAAGCAAGCAAGCCAAACAAACCTTTGCCTTGCTAGCATTATGAAAAGAGCTGTAAACATAAAATTCAACCATGATCAGTAAAGCAGTGAATCCATTTCAGCATGTGCACTCGTTTTGAGGATATTATGTTACTATGATAAACATGTGTTTATGTTAATTATTTTGATCCATGATATACACATGTGTGTGTGTTTATACTTATATATAAATCATTTCCATTACAGAGAATCATTTGCTGGAGAAATTGTGAAGAAGTGGAAAACAAGATCCAGAGGAGAATACAATGATGGTTTGTTTTATTTTGTTTTTGATAGAAAGTAAACACATGCCAAGCATCTTTTCTTATAAAATAGATATTTTGTTTGGATTGAAGAGTAATATAAGGAAGCCCAGATATTTTCTGAATTCCACTTTCCAGAAATTAAAAAAAAGATTTCTGATATTTATATCACAACCTTTACAAATTACTAAGTCTCAGACTAGCGTGTTTATCTTATTTTCTATTGACAAAAGTAGCAGTATCTTCTTTAAAGTAAGTGACAATTTTCACAGTTATAATCCCACTGGACATTAAGCAAGCATCAATCAATCAATCAATCGCAGGATTAATATTACATCCGCCATGGTAGAGTTGGTAGTAGATTCTTCTTGTCCATCCACACTGAAAACTCAACTTCTGATTTTATTGTTGGTCATGTTCAGATTGCTTTGCAGCCATTTGCTGTTTGCCTTTATTTTGAGATATCCCTTTTGCTATTGTTTTAGATTTTGAAAGAATATTTTTCCCTTTGTAGATGATTTTGAGAGATTGGACAAAATAGAGACGCCATTTTCTACTGGCTGGTGGGCTGACTATGTTAAGGAGGAAGATCAGTTTAAAATGGAACTTGGCGGGAAACTTATGTTGTTGTTTGAAATACTGAGAATGTGTGAAGAGATTGGTGATAAAGTGTAAGTATTGTAATACCCTGCTTACAAGGGACAATACAAAGGGTAGGTCAAGGATCTTATCACCTCAAAAAGGTCCAAACTTGGTTACTATTTATACATTCAAAAAAGAAAAATGGGTAAGGCTTCCTTAAATGCACCTTTGGTTAAGTTTTGGACGTGCAAGCATGTTTTTTTGAGGTAAAGATTCCATGAAATGCAATCAAAACCCTATGGTACTGACTTGATATCTATATCTTCCAAGGTTTATCACTACCTTTGATAGTTAAAACAAAATAGTGCAGTGAAGTGATTATTATTTAGATCCTATCCAGTCAATGTCATGCAACTTATTGATGATTTGTTATACTTTGATCTTTAAGATACAATATGATGTGTATTTGAATTACCATACTTGTCAAGAAAGCATTTTTATGCCCCCGCCGTAGCAAAGCGGGCATTATGTGTTAGCGTTTGTCCCCAAAATTGGTTTCCGTTCTCTAATTTTAGTTTGCCTCAACCAAATGTTATAAAACTTATACACAATGCTTATTACCACAAAACACAGATCAAGTTTGAAATTGGGTGGCGTCACTTATACCGTTCATGAGTTATGCCCCTTTATAAACATAAAAATTGCTGAATTTTTCGTTTCTGTTTTCTAACTTTAGTTTGCCTAAACCAAATGTTATAAAACTTATACACAATGCTTATCACCACAAAACACAGATCAAGTTTGAAATTGGGTGGCGTCACTTTTACCGTTCTTGAGTTATGCCCCTGTATAAATGGAAAAATTGCTAAATCTGTTGTTTCCGTTCTCTAACTTTAGTTTGCCTGAACCAAATGTTATGAATCTTGTTCTCAATGCTTATGATCACAAAACAGTCTTAACAACGTGAATCCTGCATCTGTATGTGGAAGTTGATGAAAGGGTACACAACATGTAGAAATATATGTCATTAACTTTAAAAGAAAAGAAAATGTGAATAATTAGTACATTGACTCATGCATATTTTCGAGCGGGGAAATCTGTGGCCCATAGACACATTCCTCCATTTATTTTATTAAAAATTACGTAAGTAATGCATGGTGTATGAATCTGTTATAAGAATAAGTTCAACTACAAATGTACAATCATGAACAAAGTTAGATAACTCCAACTCATTCTCAATTTTTCATTTGCCTAGCAAAATACAATTCAATGTTTTATTTAAAAATTCACAAACTTGCAAAATGAAAGCAATCTACCCTTAAGTGCTCACAAGCACTTCGATTGTCAAAATATCATATATGTGTGTATTTAGGACTCATATTGTGATTTATCATTAAGGTAAAGACTGTCCATATATGACTTGCTCAATAGTTTGTATGCCACTAGTAGACATAGATAATTATTATAATTATAGGTTAATATTTAGTCAAAGTCTGCTATCCCTAGACCTTATAGAGGCCTATTTAGATCATGTAGACTCTCAATATGATGAATTACTAAACAATAAAGATAAAGAAAAGAAGGAGGAGGATAAAGAAAAAGATGACAAGAAAGAAGAAGAAAAGGATAAACCTGAAAGTGCCAATACAGTGAGTTTTAACCAAACAGTGTTTAAGTCAATCTTTCATTGTTATTCCATGGCTTGGCCAAAACTTGGGGTCGTTTTTTATGCCCCCGCCGTAGCAGAGGGGGCATCAAGTTTTACCCTTGTCCGTCTGTATGTCCAAAAGTTGGTTTCCGTTCTCTAAATTTAGATTGCCTCAACCAAATGTTATGAAACTTATACACAATGCTTATTACCACAAAACACAGATCAAGTTTGAATTTTGGTGGCGTCACTTTTACCGTTTTAAATTATGCCCCTTTACAAATGGAAAAATTGCTGAATTTTTTGTTTCCGTTCTCTAACTTAAGTTTGCCTCAAATGCTATGAAACTTATACACAATGCTTATTACTACAAAATACAGATCAAGTACAAATTTGGGTAGCGTCACTATTACCATTTTTTCAGTTATGTCCTTTTATAACTTTATATGATAGACAAGCGGGGGCATCATCTGTGTCCCATGGACACACTCCCCATTTATTTTTTATGACCTCAACAACCCATAAATGCTAATTAATAGGAGCAAATTTGACCAGCCTTGATTGATATATTTGTTCGATTGCCATAAGAAAAACTCCACTGCCATTGACAAAAAAGGCTTTCCTGTATGAAATTTCAAACTTCTGATGATGATTGGTGAACCAGTTGAAACCGACTATAAAAAGAAAGGTTCTTTTATAGTACTTCCTGATTGTTACAATTTGCTTCTGATTAGCTCGTCTATATGGCCACAAGATTGAAGTTAGTCTTGAGGAGAAATCTATCTCTGAACAAATCAAAGAAGGATTATTTAATGGAAGATATACCTCTGATCTAAAATTGATGGGTGGTGGTATTTTAGAAAGATAGCCTGAACAGATAAATTGAAATTTATGCACGTTGGGATAAAATAGAAAAAAAATGCCCTACAACTCCCCATACATTTATATCTGGAACAGCCCTATTGCATTTTCTTTTATATTTATATTTTTGTTACTATATTTAGGATGAGATGTTTGGAAAGACATGGTTGAAAGGTCAGGATTATCTGAGGATGGATGGTTCAACATCAGCTCCTTTGAGGGCTGATATGGCAAAAAACTTCAATAATCCAGACAATTATAGGTATTAATATGATTAAATGAACTAAAAATTAATAAGACAACAAAATGAGTTATCATAAGTATAGAGAGACATCAACGGATCTCTGAAAAACTATCGAGGAAACTTTTATTCCAAACATCCAATTCAACCATCAATGTTGGTTTTTTTTTGGTTGCAAAAATCAAACGAGGCACATTCAGTTTCGCTAAACAGAGATTTATTTTCTGAAACCACTGACAGGAAATTCTTGAGAAAAAAAACTTGTTTGACATATCTTGATCTATATAGAGATATAAGCTATTTTAAACTTTAAGATGGCAAATGAAACTTTTTATAAGAAATTATCAGACAATTAAAACATCATTGATAATTGTCTTGGAAGAAAGTCTTGCACTTTTTATACGATCGTATATTGGTATGACGTTGGCGTCGTCGTCGTCGTCTGAAGACACATTGATTTTCGCACTCTAACTTTAGTTTAAGTGAATGGATCTCTATGAAATTTTACCATAAGGTTCAATACCACAAAAGGAAGGTGGGGATTGATTTTGGGGGTTATGGTACCAACAGTTAAGGAATAAGGGGCCAAAAATAAGCATTTTTGTAACTTCCAGACATAACTTGTGTGTTAGTGTATGGATCTCTCTGAAATTGTACTGCAAGGTACCATACCACAAAGGGAAGGTTAGGATTGATTTTGGGGGTAATTGCCTCAAAATTTTAGGAATAAGGGGCCATAAAGGGGCAAAAAAACAAGCATTTTTCTAGTTTCAGGACAATAACTTGTGTGTAAGTGTATGGATCTTTATGAAATTGTAATACAAGGTTCCATACCACAAAGGGAAAGCTGGGTTTGAGTTTGGGGGTAATTGCCCTAAACGTTTAGGAATTTGGGGCCAAAAAGTGGCAGAAAAACAAGACTTTTTCTAGTTCCAAGACAATAACTTATGTTCAAGTGTATGGATCTCTCTGAAATTGTACTGCAAGGTACCATACCTCAAAGGGAAGGCTGTGATTGAGTTTGGGGGTGATGAATCATAAGGGGGTTCAAAATATTTGGGGGGGGGGGATTTTTTTTCCTTTTTTTTCTTTAAAATTTTCCATTTTAAATTGGTTAAATCTGATTTATATATAAAAGCAAATAATAATGATATGGTTTGAATAGGTTAATTTAAAATTTTTAAGTTCTTAGACCACATTCATTCTGTGTCAGAGACCTATGCTGTGTCAAATATTTAATTACAATCCAAATTCAACAGTGCTGTATCAAGCTTGAATGTTGTGTCCATACTTGCCCCAACTGTTCAGGGTTCGACCTCTGCAGTCGTATCAAGCTGCGCCCCAGCAGAGCATTTTATTTTCATCTATTGAAAAAAAAGAATTGACCTAGAGGGTAAAAACAGACCCATCAAGGTTCGGGGAAACCAACAATCTTTTTGCATGGCTGAAGTAGTACATTTCTTCAGATATGCAGGCAAGACATTACTGCATGTGCATTCTTGTTTTTAAAAAAGATAGTATCCATGAGTTTATTGATTGGTAAATATATTAGGCAGAAACCAAATTACATTTCCATATCAATAACATAGTAAAGTTAAAAAATAAATGAACAAAAGAAGACAAGACATCTTAAACAGAATTCAACAATGAAACCAAGACATCTTAAACAGAATTCAACAATGAAACCAGAAGTTTAAAGTCAGTACAAAAATTGAGAACAACACAAACATCAAAAAAACAATTTTGAAATTTTTTTCCAATAAAAACATTTCTTCTGATATACAGATGGCTGTTCCTTGTTCAATTTGAAGTGTTTGTTTTGTAGGCTAAGACTGTTTTTGATATCTACAAAAGCTGGAGGACTTGGTATAAATCTTGTAGCTGCCAATCGTGTTATTATTTTTGATGCATCGTGGAATCCATCACATGATGTCCAGTCTATATTTAGAGTTTACAGATTTGGTCAGACAAAACCAGTTTATGTTTATAGATTCCTTGCACAGGTCAGTAAATACAAATACATTAAATGAGTTTTGTTCATGTTCGAATTCTTTTAGCTACATTGCTTTAAGTGTCGATATGAGCTTTTCTTATCAACTTGTGTCAGCTTGTGTTAAATTCACTGTCAATACAGCTTTTATAGCTTTTATTCTACCTCTGCCCTGTGAAACCACCCAATTGATTTGTTAGTTAGCATTTAAGCCTTTAATATGAATGTTCGTGGATTTTATTCCTTACTTGGTCAAACCAGAGACTTTAGTTTTATATTTTCTGCTTCTCATTTAGAAATGAAAGCAAAGACTAGTCATGCATAGAGTTGGAAAAATTTGTCTAGGTTGGGTAACTTATCTTTTTCCAGACTTTATCCCTTTGATTTAAAATAATTTTTATGCCCACGCCGTAGCGGAGAGGGCATTAAGATTTACCCTTGTACGTCCGTATGTACGTCCAAAAATTGGTTTCCGTTCTCTAACTTTAGTTTGCCTCAACCAAATGTTATGAATCTTATACACAATGCTTATTACCACAAAACACAGATCAAGTTTGAATTTGGGTAGCGTCACTTTTACGGTTCTAGAGTTATGACCCTTTACAAATGGAAAAATTGCTGAATTATTTGTTTCTGTTCTCTAACTTAAGTTTGCCTCAACCAAATGTTATGAAACTTATACAGAATGCTTATTAGTCCCCCTACCGACGAAGTCGAAGGGGACTTTAGGTTTGCACTCCGTCCGTCTGTCCATCCGTCAGTCCAGCAAATCAGTTTTCCACACTTTTTTTCTTCGTGCTGGAAGATATTGATTTGATATTTGGTGTATTGTAATATCATGACAAGTTACAGATCAGTTTCGAATTTTATTCCGGTCTGATGATTTTATGCAGAGTTATGATCCTTGGACTTAGAAAATTCACTCCAATAATCAGTTTTCCGCACTTTTTTTCGTCATGCTTGAAGATATTGATTTGATGATTGGTATATAGTTTTATCATGACAACTTACAGATCAAGTTTGAATTTTGTTCTTGTCTGATGATTTTGTGCAGAGTTATGGTCCTTGGACTTAGAAAATTCACTCAAAAAATAAGTTTTCCACACTTTTTTTTTGTCATGCTTGAAGATATTGACTTGAAATTTGTTATATAGTTTACACTATGACAAGTTATAGAATGATCAAATTAGCATTTTGTTCCAGTACAATGAATTGTTAATGCAATACTCTCAGAATGCTTGTTACCACATAACTCAGATCAAGTACAAATTTGTGTAGCATCACTTTTACAGTTCTTGAGTTATGTCCCTTTATAACGTTATATGCAAGCGTGGGCATCATCTGTGTCCCATGGACACATTCCCCATTTATTTAAATCCAACTTAATAGCATGTTAAATAGTTTAGTACAAAGCAAGGTATATTCTTATGACATGCATTGGTCCTGAATATGGGTGTAATAAATGCTATAATGAACAAAATTTCCTAATTTTAGAACATGTTCAAAATTTTATTGAAAAGTCCAACAGATTTCTGGTACCTTCATAAAGTGTTAATGATACTAGCACAAAACCATCATCATCATCATACAAACCTAAGTCATCATCACAGAATGATATGATTTCCCAATCTTTGCTTCTTCTTTCTTTTCTTTTAATTTATAGTTTGTATAATATCCAATAAAGTTGTTCATTTAACATGCATGTTCATAATATTGTTATTATATATATATAATCATATTGTATTATGGAGAAGATTTAATAATGAAATTGAGAATGGAAATGGGGAATGTGTTAAAGAGGCAACAACCCGTCCAAAGAGCAGAAAACAGCCCAAGGCCACCAATGGGTCTTCAACACAGCAAGAAAATCCAGCACCCGGAGGCAGGCCTCAGCTGGCCCCTAAACAAAAATGTGTACAATTTACTGTGTCTCCTCTATTTTGCTTTGATTAAGCAAATAAACTATGTTCAAACTGATAAATGCTGATGCACAGTAATCACAAATTAATCAGTCAATCTGTCCCTTATTGCATGGAGAACTGTTTTTATATGCCTGTTTACGGGACGTATTATGGTATACCTTTGTCCGTCGTCAACATGTCGGACAATAACTCAAAAACCCTTTAATCAATTTGCATGAAAACTTTAGTGAATAGTTTATATCTATTGATGTAAGCTCCTTTTTCAATTATTATAAATTTTAGATTTTATTTTTCCGAGTTGTGGGTTTTTTTCATTAAAAAAGGGGGATTTTCTAGTTTTCGGACAATAACTCAAAAATGCTTTGAGCAGTTTTCATGAAAGTTTGGTGAATTGTTTATATCTATTGACTTAAGCTCCCTTTCGATTTTTATAAATTTTAGATTTTACGTTTCCGAGTTGTGGGACTTTATTCATAAAAAAGGGGGGATTTTCCAGTTTTCAGACAGTAACTCAAAAAGAGCTCATGAAACTTTGTTTACTGGTTTATATCTATTAAAATAACCTCCCTTTAGTTTTTATAAATTTCTGATATGACATTGAGGAGTTATGGAACTTTATCTGTTGAAAAAGCGACGGGCGTATCATGTGCTCATGGCGCAGCTCTTTATTACAGCATTTTAAGCATTGGTTTAACCTATGCGAGTATGTGTTGGCATGAGAAATGTCAATTGTTATCAGACACCGAATTTGTGTTTGTGTTTAACAGTTAATAAAGTAATGTCAAAACAAAAACAAAAATATGTGCATTACCCCTTTTGTATCCATCAATTCATTAATTTCTATTTTGTGTTTGCTAATTTCAGGGTACAATGGAAGAAAAAATCTATGAAAGACAGGTAACAAAGCAGTCTTTATCCCAGCGTGTGATCGACGAGCATCAGATTGATAGACATTTTGATTCTAATGATCTTAGAGAATTATACATCTTCAAACCAGACAGACTAGACGATCCTAACCGTACAGAAAGACCAACACCAGCACTGCCAAAGGTAAATAGTGTTGGAAAAATTACCTTTCTCTCTACTCCTTAAAAATCATATATATGACATAACTAAAGGTCTGGAAGTTTAATTTTACACAAGTTTTGTCATTTTATAAAACTGAAAAAGTTGTTGTATTGTGTTTCAAATTCTCCTGTTATTGTTTAGGATGACCCTGTAAAAACAATCCTCAATGTAGATGTAGTAATAACTGTATCTGTGTTAACTATTTACAGCTCTTCTATAAAAGCATGCAAAGCAAACCTTTGATCAACTTGCTTGCTAGGTTTGCTTGGATGTTTGCAAACAATAGGTAGGCGGAGCCTTTCAGTCTGTTTTGTATATACTGGAATTTGATTAGACAATAAAAATTGACATGCAATGAAGGTAATGTTTATTGTCCAATCAAATTCCAGTATATAGTAAACAGACTGAAACAGACTACCTACCTTTTGTTTACAAACATCCAAACAAACATAGCAAGCAAGTTGATCAAAGGTTTGCTTTGCATGCTTTTATAGAAGAGCTGTAATCTTTTAATTTCAGAATCGGCTGATTGAAATGACAGGAAATGCTGTTATTCATAATAAATATCTTTTGCCTGGACAAAATATATATATGTTGGAGGAATTTTAAAATTTAATAAATATTGAATTCCAATACAGTTTTATATATATGTTCAGTCTGTAAAAAATGTGATATGGTAAATGCTTTTCTTAATGTGTAAAACATCAATATAAATATGATTGTTTTATGTCTTGAAATTTGGCCATCTTCTATCAATTTATTTCTATTTAAAATTAAGTGTGTTCTTTTGATGTTTTGACTTTCATAGACCTGTCAACAGTAGCTTTACATTATTTTTAGGTTTGATAATAATAAGCCTATTAATTCCTTACCGTTTCAGGACACACTATTGGCAGAATTATTGACCAATAAGAAAGATTGGATAGTAGGTTATCACGAGCATGATTCATTGCTTGAGAACAAGATTGATCAGGAGTTATCTGAAGAGGAAAGGAAAGCTGCCTGGGAGGAGTTTGAGAATGAAAAGAAAGGCCTTATCAACACAGTACAACAGAGAGTCATGGGTAATCTATCTTACAATTTTTCCTGCTAACAGGTTTTAACATAGGTATTTGTTGGATCTGTTTAAATTTAAATGCCCTTCAAGTCTCTGTCCTTGTGTTGGACGATGATGATAATGGATGGCTGTTTGACGTCAAGTTGCAAAGGAGTAGGTTCGATAAGGCCCTAAAATGGCCCCTAATTCTAGCTGAAATTTGAAATTAGGATTTATTGACCAATGTCACAAGGAATAATAGGTAATATGATGACTAGATTGGAAACACGTCTTTTTGTTGAAGATTTATGTGTTTGCGTTCTATTCATGGCGTCACAAATAGCACTCATTTTGATTTTACGTGAAAATTCAATGAAAACAGGGAAATTTACGTTGATTTTTTGGAGAGGAAACATATAGCGCATGCGTCGACAACAAAGATATTTAAACCTAATGTTTGTTATGACATTTTACATATCTGACTTGAATACTTTGTTTGTCGACGCCTGCGCTCTATGTTTCCTAGGTCTTAATTTGGTTGAAATCCGGATGATTTTGTCCAATTTCGCAAAAATCTCTATTTCTAACCTATTTGGGATGTCAAAATTAATGCTTAAAAATAAAACTCTGGCAAAAATAGTTCAATATTACTTTCTCACATGTCTTTTCATCAACTTAAAACACATTTTATCCTGAAACATTGAACTTAATATTCGGGGCCAAATTTGGCCCATACAAATTTGGCCCATACTGAACTTACTCCTTTAATGCATTTTCAGGATGAGAACATATTAATGTGATACGATTATGAACCCTTCTTTGTACTATACTGACACATTGAGATGGGTTTTTAACGTGCTAGTTCACAAGGTAACCCTGTAGATGCAATTCTAACTCTAACTAAGCCATTGTTAACATCTTACTAATGTAACTATATCAACCACAAGACTGATATTGATTTTCTGTCCAATCAAATCTTTGTATATTATTAAACAGCTTGGTACTCCACCTATCTATTGTATTCTGTCAATCTAAATTACAATGCTTGGGAAATATCCAAACAAAAGTTTGCAAGCCAGCCATTTAGACTTTAGTTCAACATGAAAATGTATAATAGCTCTAAAAGTAATATTTAAAATTGGGGTTATCTTCCTTAGTCCATAATTGTTGTTAAACCAACTACAATTAGGGACACAGATTGATATCCAATTCAGGCTTCCAAATCTTAATACAATGCTGTTGATTTTTTAGTTCTTATTGCAAAATGAATGCAATAATAATGGTACGTGCTCACAAGCCTTTTGATTATTTTTATACCATGCTATGTGTGTCCCTGGTTTTTCGCTAATTAGATATTGACAGGTACTTGTCAGATTTATCAAAAATTGTATGATCTGTTTTATTTTTTGTAGGAATGCCAAATCCAAACTTCCACTATCAATTTGGTGCTCCAGGTATGCCTGGAATGGGAGGAATGTCTCCACAGCTGAACCAAGAAAACCTTCTAAGAATTGTCCAGGAAATGAAGTCTAAGGTAAGGAAGATTAACCAAAGTCTGGTGGAAAGTTTTGTCTTGTTGAAATAATCTTAAATTTTATCATTGACTTCAAGAGTGATCTACAAGACCTGTTTGTTTTGTAGTTCTCAAACATACCACAGGAACAGTTACCGGTCAATAATCAATCATAATTATCATAGCTAGTATTTATTGATATCAGTACTATTAACAAATTATGTGTTTTGTCGTTCCCACACTTACCACAGGAACAGTTACCAGTCAATAATCATAATTATCATAGCTAGTATTTATTAATATCAGTACTATTAACAAATTGTGTGATTTGTAGTTCCCACACTTACCACAGGAACAGTTACCGGTCAATAATCAATCATAATTATCATAGCTAGTACTTATTGATATCAGTACTATTAACAAATTATGTGTTTTGTAGTTCCCACACTTACCACAGGAACAGTTAACGGTCAATAATCAATCATAATTATCATAGCTAGTATTTATTAATATCAGTACTATTAACAAATTGTGTGATTTGTAGTTCCCACACTTACCACAGGAACAGTTACCGGTCAATAATCAATCATAATTATCATAGCTAGTATTTATTGATATCAGTACTATTAACAAATTATGTGTTTTGTAGTTCCCACACTTACCACAGGAACAGTTGACCATGCAGGTACAGAATGTGATACGAAACATGATCTCACGGCAAATACAACAACAACAATGGGAACAACGCAGACAGGTAAATATATACTCCTCTTATGAAACATCTATTTGACTGCAATATTTGCAGCTATTTATTGGAACCATGTCAAATTTTATTGATTTAGAGCTCTTTTCCTATTCCATGTTGATATAAAAAATTTCAGTCATATCTTGAATTTATTCACAATATACTAATGAAGATTAGCAATGGCTTTGTTTGCTGATTGTTAACATCCATTGATTGACCTCCTCATCTTTATTTTTGTCTAGCCTTGACAAGAGTCAAAAAGCAAGACTAAGGTATGCTGTTTATAGCAGTGGCATCAACAATTTGTTAAAAGTTTGTGGTTAGGTCAGTTTAAGGGGAACTACTTATGGTACATCAATAATGTGTGGTGTGCAGTTGAAGCAGCATTGGCACATCTCATTTCCATGGAGATTATTTGGCCCTGCTCCCTCAGCCATGGTCTATTGACTTTGAAACTTTTACATAGTCTACATGTTAAAGTTTGTGGTTAGGTCAATTTAAGGGGAAACACTTATGACAAGTCAACAATACATACAGGCCAGACATATCAACAAGTGTCAACAGTATATAAGTATTTTGTTTTGTGTTCATTAATGTACACCTCATATTTCTTGTTTTATTATCCATGTGTTATATGTTTACAGTTAAGAGCAGAGCGAACATTAGATTTCTCTTCTTTTATCTATGTGTCATATGTTTACAGTAAGGGCAGAGAACTTCAGATTTTTCTTCTTTTATCCATGTGTTATATGTTTACAGTTAGAGCATAGAGAACTTCAGCAACAACAACAGTTACAACAGCTGCAGAATCGTATCATGATGCAGCAGAACCAATTGAGAATGCAACAACAAGCGCCAGGACGAGGCATGAACATGCCACTCAGTGGAATCCAACCACCAACATCATCAGCATCCTCATCACGATCATTGTTAGCAAGCACATTAATGAATGGGAATTCACAAAATCAACCAAGTACTTCAAAGAAGAAGAGTTGATGGCGGTGAACCATAGCTCTCTGACTATAATTGCTGTAAATTGACATTGGACAGTAAATGGTGTGATTTGGGTGTAGATTGTTGAGTGATGTGATGAAATAAGTTCAACAAGCTACTAGATTGTACTTGGAAAACTTTAATGTGTCTCAGTGTACAAATTTTAAGATTGCAAACGAGAATTGATCGTTGGCACAAATCATTGTTCATTTTCATCATGAATGTTATAGAGGCCATCTGACATTATGCTTCTGTCAAGTATCAGTTGTATTGTGATCAACTGTGTTAATGTAATGTTTGTGCTTTTAATATGCTAAATAATGTTCAAAATAAAAGGAGGGGGAACCTCATTGATATTGTACAATTCTATTTCATAAATAATACCAGATTTTCCATATCTGTATTGTGATTTAAAGCTGTTTTAATTTGTGAGGTGTACTTGATTTATCAATGAGAGTTTTATAAGGTAGCAGTTATTTTTTTTTTTAAATGTCTTCAGTTGTTAATTTAAGACAAACATACAAATTGGTATTCAATGAAAAAAGTGTTAAAGATGAAATAGAATATTTGTCTATCAGTACATGTAAAATGAAATAATCTGTTAATCTGAATGTAAATAATTGGTGAAATTTACAGTTTACATTTGTTTATGTCTTCCATGATCATACATGTGATAATGATGGAATGTAAACATGTTCACTGTAAAGTCTTAAGATTCATTGGCAAAGCAAAGTTCTGATTTCTTATAAAAGATTCTGGCATCGCCACAGACATATGTCAGTATTGAAGGATGTTTGTTAATTTTTGGTCAAATGTTTTTGTATAGAAAGGCTGGTATTGGCCAAGTTTTGGGTATGTTTTTGTTGTGGGCGGGTGCTGCAGATAGACAGAACTACATTTTTCGTGTCCAAAAACAACTTCCTTTCACCCTGAAATTAGACTTTTAATTTATATAAAAAAAACGAGACGTGGTATGATTGCCAATGAGACATCTATCCACCATAGTCCAAATGACATGGATGTAAGCATTATGTTCTTTGTACCCCCCTTAACCTACGGGATATGTATTGGGGTGGGAAACTGATGACTAACAATCTATTAATTAAATTATTCCTTTGATTATTTAAATAAACAAACATTTTTACACTCCTTTATGGTGTGCTAATTTTTAGTTAGTTTCTATTTAATTTTTATTTTTGTGTCTTTTTATTACCATTGTAAAGCTTGATGCTTTATATAAAGTGTGGTGCTTCATTATGTACATAGTATTTAATATTGTAAAGTTATAATTAACTGGTACCTTGTCCCATTGTATACCAGTATAATGTCAAATTATCAACATTTCAAACACTATGGACCCTTTATTTTAAGTGAGTCAATATAAAGGACCGAAATCATTTTCAAAACCTTGGGTCTTTCTAATGTAACCATGGTTACAGAATCAATCCATTGTTATAGGCTTAGAATGTTATAATATGATGTGTCTGTCCGTCATGTCTTTTGTTTTGTTTTTCTTTTCATTTCTTTGTTTCCATTCTTGTAGTATACACTTTAAAATTTTAAATTCTGATGTAGAAAATTACAAAAACTTGATGGTAAATTTGACCTCAAAAATATTTATTTTTCATATTGAAATTGGTGTTAAATGGTTATAATAACTTAATTATGGAGACAACTTTAAAAAAAAATTGGATTGTTGGTGAAACAAATAAGATCCTGAATATTTTTGGACAGATATTTCTTTGGTTATATCAATATTACTTAACTTTTTATTTAGTGCTAAAACATGGACAACAAATACACTTTGTTTTGTATCACCTGTTTTATTTTATAATTTTGAGAAATAAACCCGATCTACTTGAGATGTTTCTTGTTATGATGGGGTAACTTGGTTATTTTCTGTAGTAGTCTTTACTCATTGTGTTAATAAAATGGAATATTTAACTATCTTGTCATTAAAACAGAAGTATCCATCATGTTTTCTTTCATTATAATGCCACTTTATATCAAAATGTTACATTAACATGCCTCATTATTGTCCCCGCACAACACGTTGCAGGGGGACATAGAAATACCGGGTGTTTGTCCGTCCAGTCTTGTTAGCGCTCTCACATGTACAATTCTTGCCAGATTTTTATAAAACCTATTTCATAACTTTATATCAGCTATGTCTTGGACAAGTTCTAAAATCAATGTTGATGAACTATTTTAAAAGAGTTATGCCCCTTGGAAACATTAATTACATGCAAAATTACATCGTTAGCGCTCTCATGTGTACAATTCTTGCCAGATTTTTATGAAACTTTAATATATCATAGGTTTATATCAGCAATGTCTTTGACGAATTCGAAAATCAGTGCCAATCAATTATTTTTAAAAGAGTTGTGCCCCTTAGAAATATTAATTATATTAAAAATTGCCTTATGAACGCTCTAATGTGTACAATTCTTGCCAGATTTTTATGAAATTTATATCAAAGGTTTATATCATCAATGTCTCAAGACAAATTTAAAAATCAGTGCCGATCAATTGTTTTTATACGACCGCAAAAATTGAAAATTTTTTGGTCGTATATTGGTATGACGTTGGCGTCGGCGTCGTCCGAAGACACATTGGTTTTCGCACTATAACTTTAGTTTAAGTGAATGGATCTCCATGAAATTTTACCATAAGGTTCAATACCACGAAAGGAAGGTTGGGATTGATTTTGGGGGTTATGGTACCAACAGTTAAGGAATTAGGGGCCAAAAATAAGCATTTTTGTAACTTCCAGACAATAACTTGTGTGTAAGTGTATGGATCTCTCTGACATTGTACCACAAGGTTCCATATCACAAAGGGAAGGCTGTAATTGATTTTGGGGGTAATTGCCTCAAAATTTTAGGAATTAGGGGCCAAAAAAGGGGCAAAAAACAAGCATTTTTCTAGTTTCATGACAATAACTTGTGTGTAAGTGTTTGGATATTTCTGAAATTGTACTACAAGGTTCCATATCACAAAGGGAAAGCTGGAATTGAGTTTGTGGGTAATTGCCCGAAACGTTTAGGAATAGGGGGCCAAAAAGGGGCCAAAAATAAGCATTTTTCTAGTTTCCAGACAATAACTTGTGTTCAAGTGTATGGATCTCTCTGAAATTGTACTGCAAGGTACCATACCACAAAGGGAAGGCTGGGATTGAGTTTGGGGGTGATGAATCATAAGGGGGTTCAAAAAATTTGGGGGGGGATTTTTTTTTTTTCTTTTTTTCCTTTTTTTTTTCTTTTAAAATTTTCCATTTTAAGTTGGTTATTTCTGATTAATATTTAAAAGCAAATAATAATGATATGGTAGGAGATACACACCAAACAGGATGTGTAAATTATTATATAATAAGTATTGTGCAATAGCAAGAAATTTTCAATTGCACAGTATTGCACAATTGCAAGAAATCTTCAATTGCACAGTATTGCGCAATAGCAAGAAATCTTCAATTGCACAGTATTGCGCAATAGCAAGAAATATCCAATAGCACAATATTGCGCAATAGCAAGAAATTGTCAATTGTACAGTATTGCACAATAGCAAGAAATATTCAATTGCACAGTATTGTGCAAAAGAAGATACTTCGTATAAATTGCTTATTTCTTGATCAATTTCAATGGGGTTTTATTCTTGAATTCTTGGGGTTCTTTAATATGCTGAATCTAACCGTGTATTAAGTTTTTAGATTTTGGGCCCCGTTTTTAAATTGGTCCACATTGAGGTCCAAAGGGTCCAAAATTTAACTTTGTTTGATTTCATCAAAAATTGAATTATTGGGGTTCTTTGATATGCCGAATCTAACCGTGTATTTAGATTCTTAATTTTTGGTTCCGTTTTCAAATTGGTCTACATTAAGGTCAAAAGGGTCCAAAATTAAACTTAGTTTGATTTTAACAAAAATTGAGTTTTTAGGGTTCTTTGATATGCTGAATCTAAACATGTATTTAGATTTTTGATTATGGGCCCAGTTTTCAAGTTGGTCCAAATCGAGGTCCAAAATTAAACTTTGTTTGATTTCAACAAAAATTGAAAATATGGGGTTCTTTGATATGCTGTATCTAACCATGTATTTTGATTTTTTATTTTTGGGCCCCGTTATCAACTTTGTCCACATTGAGGTCAAAAGGGTCCAAAATTAAACTTTGTTTGATTACATCAAAAATTGAATTCTTGGGGTTCTTTGATATGCTGAATCTAACCATGTATTTAGATTTTTTTATTTGTGGACCCGCTATCAAATTGGTTCATATTGAGGTCAAAAGGGTCCAAAATTAAACTTTGTTTGATTTCATCAAAAATTGAATTATTGGGGTTCTTTGATATGCCAAATCTAACCGTGTATTTAGATTTTTAATTTTGGGTCCCGTTTTTAAATTGGTCTACATTAAGGTCCAAAGGGTCCAAAATTAAACTTAGTTTGATTTTAACAAAAATTGAATTCTTGGGGTTCTTTGATATGCTGAATCTAAACATGTGTTTAGATTTTTGATTATGGGCCCAGTTTTCAAGTTGGTCCAAGTTGGGGTCCAAAATTAAACTTTGTTTGATTTCAACAAAAATTGAATATATGGGGTTCTTTGATATGCTGAATCTAAACATGTATTTAGATTTTAGATTTTTGGCCCAGTTTTCAAGTTGGTCCAAATTGGGGTCCAAAATTAAACTTTGTTTGATTTCAACAAAAATTGAATATATGGGGTTCTTTGATATGCTGAATCTTACCATGTATTTAGATTTTTTATTTGTGGGCCCGCTATCAAATTGGTTCATATTGAGGTCAAAAGGGTCCAAAATTAAACTTTGTTTGATTTCATCAAAAATTGAATTATTGGGGTTCTTTGATATGCCAAATCTAACCGTGTATTTAGATTTTTAATTTTGGGTCCCGTTTTTTTAAATTGGTCTACATTAAGGTCCAAAGGGTCCAAAATTAAACTTAGTTTGATTTTAACAAAAATTGAATTTTTGGGGTTCTTTGATATGGTGAATCTAAACATGTGTTTAGATTTTTGATTATGGGACCAGTTTTCAAGTTGGTCAAAGTTGGGGTCCAAAATTAAACTTTGTTTGATTTCAACAAAAATTGAATATATGGGGTTCTTTGATATGCTGAATCTAAACATGTATTTAGATTTTAGATTTTTGGCCCAGTTTTCAAGTTGGTCCAAATTGGGGTCCAAAATTAAACTTTGTTTGATTTCAACAAAAATTGAATATATGGGGTTCTTTGATATGCTGAATATTACCATGTATTTAGATTTTTTATTTTGTGGGCCCACTATCAAATTGGTTCATATTGAGGTCAAAAGGGTCCAAAATTAAACTTTGTTTGATTTCATCAAAAATTGAATTATTGGGGTTCTTTGATATGCCAAATCTAACAGTGTTTTTAGATTTTTAATTTTGGGTCCCGTTTTTTAAATTGGTCTACATTAAGGTCCAAAGGGTCCAAAATTAAACTTAGTTTGATTTTAACAAAAATTGAATTCTTGGGGTACTTTGATATGGTGAATCTAAACATGTGTTTAGATTTTTGATTATGGGACCAGTTTTCAAGTTTGTCCAAGTTGGGGTCCAAAATTAAACTTTGTTTGATTTCAACAAAAATTGAATATATGGGGTTCTTTGATATGCTGAATCTAACCATGTAATTTGATTTTGGACATTGGACCATAATAGGTAAATTAAAAAAATTAGACCACATTCTTTCTGTGTCAGAAACCTATGCTGTGTCAAATATTTAATCACAATCCAAATTCAGAGCTGTATCAAGCTTGAATGTTGTGTCCATACTTGCCCCAACTGTTCAGGGTTCGACCTCTGCGGTCGTATCAAGCTGCACCCAGCGAAGCATTTTATTAAAAGTGTTATGTCCCTTGGAAATATTGATTATTTGAAAAATTGCATTGTTAGTGCTCTCATGTGTACAATTCTTGCCAGAATTTTATGAAACTTATATCATAGGTTTATATCAGCAATGTCTTTGACACTTTTGAAAATAAGTGCTGATCAAATATTTTAAACTAGTTATGCCCCTTGGAAAAATTAAGTATAATGGAAATTGCATTGCATTTGCTCTGAAGCCTTCATTTCTCTAATATATTTATAAATTGTTTGAAAGAACAAAAAAAAGAAGTGTTATTTTTAGTTATTGCCCTTGTACCTTGGATAGATAAAATATGTGCAAGGTGGGGGACATTGGAACTCTGGTTCTTTTATGATATTTGGTATGCAGTTGTATAAGCATTGGCATGTCTCCTTTCCATGGAGATTATTTGGCCTTGGCCCCACCCACCTCAGTCATGGTCTATTGACTTTGAAACTTTTGCTTTGTTTACATGTACAAGTTTGTGATAAGGTCAGTTAAAGGGTAACCATTAGTGGTAGATCAATGATATTTTGTATGCAGATGTATTAGCATTAGCACATCTCATTTTCATGGAGATTATTCGGCTCTGCCCCCATCAGTCATGGTCGTTTGACTTTAATAAATGTTTTGCATAGTTTTAGATCAGTTTAAGATGAACCACTAAAAGTCAATGATATTTGGTATGCCGATGTATTGGCATTTGTAAGTCCAATTTCCATGGAGATTATATGGCCCCACCCCATCATCATGGTTCATTGACTTTGAAACTTCTACATTGTTTACAATTTAGTTTGTTTTAATATTGTCATTTTAATTTCAACATTTGCATTATACTTTCAAAATAACAAAAACACGAGACATATCTCTGTGTCAACAGTTTATTATTTGAGGTGTTTGTGAAGTATTTAAAAATAGGGAATGTTATATACAGAAGAAGATGTTTTATTTCCATTAAATGGGCTCATAAAGAGATATGATATAAGACATTATTTAGACGACAAAAAACAATCGAGTATTCAAAAAAAAAAAAAAGAATTAGCTGTTTGAACATGAATGAACTACACACACATATAAATATATATATAT